AAAAAAATTCAAAAATATCTAGTACCCAACAGTAAAATTTACAATGACTGGCATTCAATCAAAAATAACTAAGCAAGCAAAAATGCAGGAAAATGGTACCCAAAATGAAGGAAAAAACTAATCAATAGACCTAGAAATAACACACTTAGTAGAATTAGTAGAGACATTAACAGTTATAACTATATTTCACATATCCAAATCTCCCCAAAGGAAAGAAGAGAAGGTGCCAAAAAACATTTAAATAATTAATGGTAAAAACACTTTCCAAATTTGATGAAAACTAAAAGTACACAGATTCGAAAAGCTCAGTAAATTCCAAGCACAAGAAACATGAGAAATGCTACATCAAGTCATATCATAATTTAGTTGCTTAAAACCAAGGATAAGGAGAAAAATGTTAAATACACCAAAGAAAATTGACACAATATGTATAGAGGAAAAAGATAACAAACCACAAACTTTTCATTAGAAACAATGCAAACCAGAAGGTCATGGAGCAATATCTTTACAACACTGAATGAGAAAAAGAAAAAGAAAGAAAAAAATTCAAATTAGAATGCAACATGCAGGAAAAATGCCTTTCAAAAATGAAGACAAAATTCAGGCTTTTTAAGAAAAAAATGAATTACCAGCAACCTGTACTACAAGAGAGATAAAAGGAAATCCACCAGGCAGGAGGAAGGTTATACTAGATGGAAATCTGAATCTACACAAAGGAATGAAGCACATCAAAAATAGAAAATGAGTTAATGTATTAAAAATGTCTTATTTTTTTACATTTCCAATGTGTTAAAAAGATAATTTACTTTTCAAAGAAAAAAACACTAGTGTGGGATTTATAAAACCATAAGTATTAGGGCTGGTCAGTTAGCTCAGTTGGTTAGAGAACAGTGCTATAACACCAAGGTCAAGAGTTTGAAACCCCATACCGGCCAGCCACCAAAAAACAAACAAACAAAAAATGCAAATATTAATAAAATGTATGAAAACAATAACCAAAACACTGTGAAGGAGAGACGGAAGTATTATATTTTAAGGTTCTTAAATGGCATGTAATATTACTTGAAGGTAAACTGTGATGTTAAGGGCAGTCAAAGTAAATTTCAGAGCAAAGAACATCACCAGGGATAATGAGGGTTATTTCATCAATACAAAAGGATCAATTTATCAAGAACTACAAAGAAAAATAAACAAATCTGTAATTACATTCAGAGATTTCAATCCCTTTATTAAACATTGATAGAAGAAGAAGACAGAAATTCAGCAAAGATATAGATGACTTTAATAACACTACCTACCAACTTAACCTAACAGACATTTGTAGAAGACTCCACATATCAATAGCAGAATATACACTCTTTTCAAATGCACCTGAAACATTTACCAAGGTCTACCATACTCTGGGCTATAACACACGTCTCAATAAACTTAAAAGAATTCAAGTAATACAATTCCTGACCAACACAGAATTAAATTAGTAATCAATAACTAAAAGTGATCTGGAGAAATCTTGAAATACTTAGAAACTAAAAAATTCACCTCTAAATAATGCATGGATTGAAGAAGAAAATCAGAAGAGAAATTTAAAAGTATTTTGAACTGAATAAAAATGAAAACCAAACATATCAAAACGTGTGGGATGAAGCTTAAAATTTTACTGCAAAAGAAATTTATACCACTAAGCACCTGTGTTATTTTTAAAAACTCAAATTAATACTAAGTATTCAGCTTAAGAAAATAGAAGGAAGAAAACAATAATACAGGGGGGAAAATCAATGAAATCCAAAGATGGTTCTTTGAGAATGTCAGTATTAAAAAACCTTTGGACTGACTGACAAATTAATACTAAGTATTCAGCTTAAGAAAATAGAAGGAAGAAAACAATAATACAGGGGGGGAAATCAATGAAATCCAAAGATGGTTCTTTGAGAATGTCAGTATTAAAAAACCTTTGGACTGACTGGGCAAGAAAAAAAAGAGAAGACACAAATTACCAATATCATGAATGATAGAGCTGACATCACTACATATTCTTTGTATCTTAAAAGAATAATAAAATAATTTTATGAAAACATTTATGCAAACAAATTCTACAACTCATATGAAATGAACAAATTCCTTGAGGGACACATACTATCAAAGCTCACTCAAGAATAAATTGATAGCTCTAATAATTTTATAGCTATTTAAAAATTGAATTTATAATTAAAACGTGTTCCATAAAGAAAATTTCAGGCCCAGGTGTCTTTACTGGTGAATCCTACCAAACAGCAAATTGAAGAAGAAAAAGTCCTTTTTCTATGAGACCAACATTATTACTCTGACATCAAAATTAGATAATGACATTACATGAAAAGAAAATTATATACTACTGTCCCCCATGAACATAGGATGGAAAATTCTTAACAAATGTAATCTAAC